ATTCACAGTCATTCCCTTTCTTCTAACAAAAAAAAAAATAAAAAAATTACTAGGTTGTAGAATGGGATAGAGCAGAGATTCGGTTAAACAAAACAGTTTTGTTCATATATAAGCTTAAAAATAGATTAACTAAGTGGAAAATAGTCTTCCTTAAAAAAACACTGTAGAAAGTACAAAAGTTCACATTGTATACAAGTGTCTTCCTTTTCTGTGGAGATCAGAGGTAGCACATCTAGCATATTTTGCTATAGGATGTTTTGCTATGGTACAGACTAATTTCTTCTGTAGTCAAGTAGCATTGTACGTTAATGTATAAAACCCATGTAATGGCCAGAGTACAGTATAGGATAGGTCTCTCCTATACAATCTGCTTTCCTCTTAAAACTCATCTGTATTTCAAGTGTCAGAACATGGCATTCTGTTTCCTCTCTCCTCCCCACCCTGGTTTTTTTCTCTGCTTGATTCTGCTCCTATTGCAAGGTTATGTAATCCTTGGGTTGAGGGCATAAAAGGCAGGCGGGTGCTTGTGCTCAGGGAGAAGGACTTGCTAAAACACCTTTCTGGACAGAAAGCGACCTCAAATTTGGATGAGAACTGCCCACCAAAATCCCGTGTTAATAGCAAATGGCCTTTTATGAATCGGGCCCAAAGTTTGTACAGTTCTGTTTGAAGAAAAATATTGCAACTGTGCATGAAACTAAACAACCACATGAGGTTTTCTTTTTTTTTTCTTTTTTTTTTTTTTAAGGGTTTTTCTTTTTATATGAGGAGGTCTGGTGTGAAGAAGGGTCAAGCACGGGTACCTGGTTAAATGCTGCCCATTAAGAAATCTCTTGCAACACGAGTTCAATGTCACTTATGGGCGTTAGACTTGTCCCTTCAATTTATGCATACGTTCTTCATAGAAAGCTCTTGGAATTCTTATGGTAGCTTTCAAGACAAAAATGTTACCAGGCACGGATTTCTGGTCTCAAACACCATGTCCTGCCTTCCAGGAAAAAAGAAAAAAAAAAGGAAGAAAAAAGAAAAAAAAAAGAAAAAAACCCAAACACAAGTAATACTGAATTTAAGTAAATGTATACCTCCAAAATACTGAAAACTCCCCAAATCAAGAAAAGACAGAATTTGCGTTCTCAGTGAAATATCTTTAAACCTATCTGACAAGAACCAAGTCAGAAAAAAAGACTAACATAACTTTGAGTAATATTCATACAGCTCACTAAGCATTATGGAATAGCATGCATTAATATTGTACGGTTATTTTACATCACCTATATCAGAAGGTTCTGACAGACAGCGAAGGCTACCGGTGTAGAAAAATCTTACTTCAGAAGAGCAATATAATACAGATTTCACAGGCACTACATTTTAATATATCAGGTATTATGCTGGTTTTCTTATAATTCTTTCTGTCCTAAAGCTGGCATTATAACAATGACCAAAAAGGCAAGGATTGAAGTAAACGGAAAGTAGATACCAAAGTTGATATATTTTTTTTCGGATAGATTAGTGCATAGTTCTCATGCAGATAAACACTGCTATGCATTTACATTGTTGGAAAGCAGAGTGAATTGAGCCCAAGTTGTCACATTTTTGTAAATCATTTTGCCAGCCTGTAATAGCACCATGTAATGGATTTGCATTAAACATTAAATTGATTTCAGAATTGGTGACACAGTATTCACTACAGTTAAGTGCTATGGAATAGCTTCAATGTTACCTGCTATATATCAAAGCAATTTTCATCCCACTGCTTTTTTATTGGAAAAAATAAAAGGAAAATGTACTCGATACTAATTAGACTATTGCACAGCCTTGGACTTGATGATGGCATAGCCGGGTTTACTGTCAAACAGTAATACATGCATTGACTTCAAGACAAAATTGGCATTGTAAGCTTGATTTAATGAAAATCCTGCCTAGCAGGCAGGCAGTGTTCACTTCATGAGACCTTCCTCCAAGAGACCTCATGAGGTTTATTTAAATTTTTTTAGGTGCCATTGAAGCTCTCCTTACATTATCATGCCGGTTATAGTTTTACTTTTGTTCGATGGAGGCCTTCTACAGAAAAAAAAAGAAAGAAAGATATTTCCAGAGACACAATGCAAAGTACAATATTAACTGACATTCTTAAAAAAAAAAGGAAAAAAAAAGAAAAAAAAAAGATCACCACAAGGGGAAAAAAAATCTGTTTTAGGCTATGTATCTGGTTTTTTTGTATTTTTTGTACAGTTAATTTTATAACTGTTACTACAAAGCTGCAAAATATACGGAACAAAAAGAAACAGTGAAAGAAAATAAAACGTTAGAGGGATTTTGCATATTCCTGTGGGCCTACTGAATACTGTGGAGTTGCGGAAAGTTTGCGTTTCCTTTACCCTTCAATTTTAAGGTGGGGGAGGGAGAAATAACCAAGAGACAAAGTGTACCATGGCTGCCTAACTTTAGTCTGTAAGTTTTATTCTAAAGGAAGAGGAATAAATAATGACCTTACTGGGGTGCACGGCATGACAAAAGCGAGTTTGAAAAGGGGAAAAGACAGCAATTAACTGGTAGAGTCAATTTGTGATAAGCACTTTTTAAATCTTTGAAGTCGGGTGGGTGAGTGAATACAGGTCAGTGTTTGTGCGTCTGACAAAAATTGTTCCAGAAACAGATTTTGGGGGTGTGGGGAGGGAGGAGCAGGGAAGGGGACTTGTTCAAGTGATTCTTTTAAAAAAATTAATCAAACAATTTGAAGAAGAAGGGAACACAATGCAATTCTGACTCAAGGACTAAGATTGTTCGCCTGAATCCTGCCTGTTCTCTTTATTGTAGACTGCACACCCCAAGCAGCTGTCTTGCTCAGATCTCCATTCTTTTGCTTTACTTTGAGGAATAAAACACTGTTTTGTTCTCAATACCTGAACAGAACCAAACTGCTGTGTTTTCTGCATGATAATAAGGTGAACAAAAATTTAATTTAGTGTGTTTAATACTTTACAACCACTGTTGGTTAACACCCTTGACCGCCTACCTAATGTTTTAAAGCCTTTAAAACATTTTTTTTTCTGCAATTCTGCTCAGAATTCCCTAACTTTAGCGTCATCAAACTTAATACGACAAAATACCTTCAAAAAATACAGCATACCTGTAATGTCCATTTACAATGGTTCTTCAGTAGCCTATACTTCTCAAGCATAGGAATATGCTATACCATTGAGAGAAGAAAAATAACTGTATTTAAATACATACAAAAAGGAAACAGGAAAGTTTTTAACTTAAATCCAGTTCCCAAAGGAAAAAAAAAGCAATTCTATGAACGCTGCCTTTATAACGAACAATCAGAAATTCACCTAAGCTAATTTGACAGAAATTTTTCCTCATTTAAACAACATTACAAAAGTCCTGCATTATAAAATAGGGTAGAATAAATCAGTGTAATCAATAAAACTATACAACATACAAATTACATATCTTCTGAGTGGGCAGTTTAATTCTCTCTCTTTGCAGCCATGACTACAACATGCTCACTAAAAACAACTAACTGCCCAAACTATTGCTTAGTTTGTTTTGTTTAAAAAAGGGTGCAATTTTATTGTATATACAACCAATTTACTGGTAATACCTTGGCTTATAGCAAGGTTCTGACAAAATGTTTGTCTAGGCTTTTTTCCCTTCACTGTGAAGCACTGAAAGCTGCTATTTTTTTTTAGTGCACATATGTCTTAATAAAGTAATGCCCAGCTAAGTGCTATAGGGAAGGCAAAGGATGCTGGCTAGAGGATGTGATACCATATACTAACAATCACACGATACAATAGAGCAAAATGACTACTCAACCACTTATCAGACACATATGAAAATCCAAAACATTTTATTTTTTCCTTAAATAGAGAATAACCAGTAAACAATTTTCAGAACTTGGAAGTTTAAAAACGTGCATATAAAAATGGGCATTATATACTTTTATTGAATGTGGATTGATTGCAGTCTGCTAATAAAAATGGGTGTGGGATCTGAAGAAAAAGGAAGGTTTTTTTTTTTTTTTAAGGCTTGCTTGTGAAAGGAACAGTTGTAAAACAAAAATTGCTTGAAGCAGGGTTCAGCTTAGTGCTTCACAGTTTGACTGCTTCTCTAAGAAGAGCCCTTCCCGCATGTGCATTCAAAATCACAAAAGTACAAAGACAAACACCTAAAACACACTGCGTCAAGTGCAGCACCAACTTTGGTCAAATAAAAAAAAAATCAAAAGAAAAATTAATAATTGCTAAGCTCGTCTACATGATATAAGCAGGTATTGCATATTTTCATATATCTGGGAAAAACAAAACAAAAGGAAGACTCCAAATAAAATGTAAAATGCAGCAACATCCAAAAATACTGATAATCTAGCATCTACAGATCTCAGAATAGCACTGCCACTGACCGTACAGGACAATAAACACTACTCATATCTGCGGAACAACTAACATTCTATTTAATTCTAGATGTTGGAACTGACGATGGCTGACATAAAAGTCACATTTACAAAAAGTGTCTCCGAATGCTTGACTAGGGAAAAACCCCCTTCAATATAGGAACATGTGCAACAATTCCACAAATAATCGCTATCCAGGGCAAGGCACATTGATATGGAATTTTTTTTTTTGTTTCGTGCAAATTAAGAAAAAAAAAAAATTGTTTCAGGGAAAAGATGAGGAGCAAAGTGTCTTCCCAAGAATTTCAGTTACTTGATTGTATAGGACAGTAGTAGAGACCCTTCTGAAGGGCTGAACAAACATAGTTTAAAGGCAAGTGCCTGGAATAGGGATTACAATATTGTGTCTTAATGCACTCTACTTTACCCTACATTAACTATATAAAAATTAGTTACTAACACTAGAACATGCAGAGACTTTCTCTGATTAGCTGAACTTGCCAACCAGAACGTATATATATGTATAGTATAGGAAACCTTCTTAAAGTTGCATGTGAAGCAAAGGGGCGCTCCGCTGTCTGATAGAAAAAAATCAAAGGGGCGCTCCGCTGTCTGATAGAAAAAACTTCACTTGCCCTCTTTTTTTCTTTTTTTTTTTTCTTTTTTTCTTTTTTTTTTTGTACATAAGATACAGGACGTACGGGGTCCAAACTTTTTTATTTTTTTTCAGCAAGTGCCCTTGCTTTGAACTGGCATAAGTTGTAGTATCAGCATTCATTCAGTATTGTTTTCTCTGTAGTCCAGAAAATGTACCAGTTCAGGGACACAAAGGTGTTTTAATTTCTGGACTGCTCTCTATTAATCCCAAGGTGTTTGAGAACTGATAAACCCTATATTGCCGGAAACACGTAAAATTTGTCAGAATTGGCATAATTCATTATAGTGACTTTTAGCTTATAAAATTAACAGATATTATGATTTAATTTTAGTTATGTGCTTTGATAACAGAAAATGATTAATTAGCATTTAATGTAGTTAACATATTGTGGTAAAAGCACCATTAGATTTGTATTTTTTTAACTTTTCCTTCAGTTTTAAAGGGATACAAGTTCAACAATAAAAAACATAAAAAGCAAAAATAGCTCCCCTTTTTCTTGCAAGGCTGTTTTTTACCCCAATAATTTAGAGTCCTGGGGTGGAAGGACTTGGAAAACAAAAATAGAATTTTCAACAATCTCTATCTTACAAAGATATTTAGCTATCCAATGAAATTGCACTTTACTCAATTCAAAATTCGATTGTTTTGATTGATTCCTGTCAGTTTCTGTCAAAACAGACCAACTTCCCCATTTCTGTGTGAATTTTTGTGTAATTGTTGAAAATTGTTGAAAAATGTTTTTTTTTTTAATGTAAGTGCAGCATTTCAAACTTTTTTCTTTTTCTTTTAGTGTATAGTAGTAGTTTGATGTTTTAAATCACTCTGCAATCAAGTGGAAAAAAACCTGTTGAAAATGTTCGTATGATTTTTGTTACGTATCTAAGTGCTGACTGTAAAAAAACAAACAAACAAAAAAAACCAAACCTGCAAATTTTTTCCCGATATGTTACAGAAAAACATGCTCTATGTCTGTCCTGTAAGTTATATATTGCAGAATTCAGCTACTACAAAAGTTATAGTTTAAGTGTGTTTCATGATTTCTCAAGAAGTCTCACACCTGCATGGGAAAAAAATTGATGAAAATACTGTAAAACAGTTAGGCTCCATATGGAAAGTGTGTTACAACAGCGAGTCGGTAAGCAGCAGCAGAGGCTAGTACTACCCAGTGTCACCAAATGCTTACACTACCAATGAAACACTTCAAAAATTATGAAGCCCAACCATTTCCAGCACCATATGAGAAATTACAACAGTCCCTAAGGTGTCTAAAAAAATCTCAAAAAAGTTATGGCCTTTGCTATTCAACCATAACGTTTGCCATTTCCATGTACTAGTTGTTTGCTGTTGATATCTGTTTGTCTCCCCTTCCATTGACGTGAAGTAACTGCGCTGTGTTGCTGCTGCTTCCATGTTACAGAGTTGGGAAGGGGTCAGGTGGTCTGTCCGGTGGGTGGTGGGAAGCTGCGACTTTTATCCCAGGTACCAGGACTGCAAAACAAAGAGAAAAGCTTATTATAAACGAGTGATATTTTGGAACGGGCTGTAAACGTTGCTGCAATCCTCGTATTCAAAGCGGAGGGGAAGTTTCAGGGGCTGATGAACTGAGCTAGCTGCAAATAATACCACTAAAATCATTTTTTTTTTCACTAACAACCTCAGGTCATTATTGAGATCAACATAATTGTGCTGCTGTGTTACAACTTATCTATCGTTTCAATGGAGATAGAGCTCGTTCACTTTTATCATCTGCCTCTAACATTCCCCCTCAGTGAATCACACATGGGTTTCCATGCATTTATCACCATGCAACTGGGGTTTTCTTGGGGATTTAAACAAGTGCCAGTGTAAGCATCTGTTGCTTTATAGCACTCTGCTTCAACCGTCTCACTAGAATAGACATGTGAAAATTCAGTAACATGGGTGGTTTCCTAGGAGAAATGTAGACTGCTAAAAGGAACAAGGATAAAGCAAAAATAAGGGGAACGAGATCAGTGAAAAAGCTGTCCTAGGTCTATGGACATGCTTGACTTTAATAGCAAAAAGGGACTTGGTGCAAAAGCCCTTCTTTGAAAAAACTTAGTGGAGCCGATTTTAGACCTTCAAAGGAGTATAATATAATGCAAATGACGTGACCCAGAACCCAAGACAGAGAAAGCAATCTTTTTTCACCATAGGACCAGAATAAACCAGCATGGGAATCTTATTTGCACTGGTGTAAATCAGGAGGACTTCCTCTCAGAACAATACGCACATCTATTTATATGGGAGGAAAACTGACGTCAGATCAGAATCAGGCCCAATCAAGCTAACGAGGCTCTAAAATAATATAGGTGAGGTCAGTGTCAGGCCTGTGGCTAATAAACCGAATGTGGATGCCACTGGGCTCCGACATGTTGCTCTCTTGGAAATAAACCAACAAGCAGTGTTGATAGCTTCAGGTGAAACAGCATAATGAGAAAGCTTCAGGTAATAAAGATTTGCTGCTGAAACCCCATTTTTTAGATTAACTCTTGCCGTATATTAGGTGCCTTTTTGCATGGAGATATCCTCAGTTGCAAGTTTTTTCTAACTTTTTCCTCCATTCTTTTTCAACATCTTCTATGATTTGTAGTCTATCGATGAAAATATCATTTATTAATATTTATAAAGGACTCTAAGGCAAGCTCCATGACTAGACTTCAAGATGAAATGATCCTCCTATAGAGGCCAGCTCTATAGAAGGCAAATAGCACAGTATGAGAACAATATGTTGTCCAGTTTCCAATTTATTACGTTCACTTCATTACTCTTACTTCCTCCACCTTTTTGAGCACAAACCCTCTACTCCCATATCTGTTTCCTTTACTGCATGCGTATTTCAGGTTCAAACTCAAACTGGCTGTAATTAAATGAAATAACGTTCATATGCAAATATTATCAACAGAGAAAGTTCTTCCAGGGTTTGGGAAGCGTTGCCAACTCCTGCGCTCCTCACTGGTGAACAGCTCCCCGGTTTTGACAGCGTTACTCAAAAAGGGAAGGGAAGTATGATTTTTGCGTCTAACACCAGTCTTCTCACCCCAAGTTTCAAGTTGCTCCGAACATCCGGTGTACATTTTACTATTGAAATAAGAATGCGGGTAGCCTTCATGATGGGCAACGTTAGCCAGAATGAGAGTCCGTCGCTGGGAGCAAAAGAGTTAAAATTCAGACTTGGTTATTCAAGTGCATATTCTGGAGGTCCAAGTAGCTAACAGGAGGGCTTGCCTGAGCACATGAATAAGCACCTAAATGATAGCTGTCTAAGATTTTCTGGTCCTGCAAGTATCCTTTGATCTCAAAAGCAGGTTTCTTAGAAATGCACTGCTGTGCTCTCATGTGTTACTGTTAACCGCTTGCTTTACAGAACTCAAGATAGCAAATGACTCTGGCAAATATATATCAGCACCTTCCACTAATTAAAAAGATAATAATCGTGCAATACATCTAGGCCTCTGCTAAACTGGCATGGCTATCGGACCACTCTTGGCCTGGACATCTCATATTTTCATAGATCCGCTCAGATTAGTGGGTCTGGAGTTTTAATTTGTGAAGTGGAAGGAAACAGGCTGGAGGCTCCTAATCTCCCTTCAGTGCAGTTGAGTGCAGTATTTCTTTTAATGATGCAAAATGCACATTTTGGACAGCAGGGGGTGCACTTTTCCACACCACGTTGCTCCCTGCTACTCACTGCATTACTAAAAAATTCTGCAGTGCTTCTCCACTCTTCTTAAAAAGCAAAAAGTTTCTTCACACATCTTACTATTCAGTGTGTGCCTTGCAGACAAGGTTACCCCAGAGCAGCTCTGTAATCCTTCACTTGAAATAGGCTTTATTGATTGCTCTGGTCTATTGTTCCCTTTTCAAGTCCCCCAAGTTCAAGTTCATCCTGGTGTTACATCATGTCTGGTTGCTAGGAGCAACCAGACAGACCCAGACGTGACTATCATTAGCAAGAAACACTCTGCTCTCCTCCCACCAACCTTCCAGTGGTTCTGACGTAGCAGGCCCACTGCAAACACATTGAAGTATTTATTCTGCCTAATTTATGACCTACACAGCAAGAGAGACCCCCACTCCAAAAACCAACACTGTTGTATATTTAATTAATCTGTCTTTCTCTGGCACTTGGGAAAGTTAGACAAAGGTCTAATTATTGTGTTGCACTCCCCACACTTTCCTTTTTGGGGTGCCTATTTGCATGGGAAAAGGAACTGCAAGGCTGGGTCCGAGCCCCCTCTCCCACTCCAAAACACCTTTTTTTTCCCTCCCCTGCCCTATTGACATTTCATGAAATACTTTAGCTGCTTAAGGGAATTAGAAAAAAAAAAAATCTGATGTGAATGTAACTCCTTCTGAGTTGGTATTCAGCAACACAAATCAACTCATGACATGTTTAAATTTAAATGCTAACCACACACTCTGAGAGTTACTTTAAAGGTTAGTTTTTAATCAATAGAAGTTGCTGACTCCAGAGTTTTTAGCTGCGCAGTGCAGCTCTTGTGCCTTTGTCTAGCGTTAGGCTTTCAAACTTTTTTTTTTTCTTGAGATGATTTTAGCAATGATTTGCAGACACAGAGTGCTATTGTGCTCTTGACTAGCAACATGTCAATAAAGGAGTAGAGTTACCATGCACGAGGGTGTCAATACCACTCCTGCAGACACAGTTCAGTCTTAATACCAATGAAAAAACTTAACCCCTTCAGTATTGAACCAAAATATCTTGCGTGTGTTTTTAAAAACTCATCTGCAGTGCCTTGGACGTCCAAATTCACCTCACTTGAAACGCCGCTTTTGAGAATACCCGACAGACACAACTGCATGGCCCGGGCAATTTTTGCAACTCGACTTTGATGACATATTTTATATGCTGAGGCAGCACATAACGAGATTGAAACAGCGCCCTTACTCCTCGCATCCCAGCCCTGCTCTCAGGACACCACTGTTTTCTAGAACGTTTTACACTTGAAGCCCACGTACAGAAGGATCCTAGGCTCCTACTAATTATTTTAATATAAAAATCCCTTCTCCCATGAGCCTTGTACGTGTCTAAATCTTCCCAGATTATGTCTGAAGAGTTCTATTGTCCCTTTGATGCACCTGCAAAACTTCCACTGCAAGGGGAAAGCAGACCTCAAAGTCGAAAATAAAAAGGCGTATGAAGTACATAACAGGACATGCAGCTTTGATAGCTGTGATCTGCTGGGTTCCTTGCACAATTAAGTGGATTAGTGAAACAAAGAAACCCAATTCTATATTTGTGGAATGTGTGCTGCTGTCAACCTATGGTTCCTCAACTGCATTTCAGCTTTACTCTGCTTTCTGGCTACCTCACGCTTTTTCATCCTTTCACGTCCTGTTTCTTAATTCTCCGTCTTCATTTAAATTGCATCGGTTATCACAACGCAATGCAGGGTGGAGTTATCTTTCTGCATTTTGCCCCCAAAAGCACACATTTAGCTTTGATCTATATTGACTTAAAAAACTTACTGCAGTGACGAGGTCAGAGCTAAATGAATCCACTGGACTGCAAGGTCCTAGCTACGTAAAATGACTGCTACATAGTCATCCGTGTGACTACAATTCTGTACTGTCCTACAGAGCATCTCGCTGTCCTTTCCCAGGGCTCAAGGTGAAACATCAAAAAGAATTCTGCAGTCCGGTACAAGATCTTAGCTTTCCTTTCTCCAGTCAAATGAAGAAGTAATCTCATCAGGTTGAAAAGTGCTGACTAAGGATTTAATAAAGTGCCTGCAGATGTGTGTCATCTCTAAGGTATTCAACTCATGTAATGCAAAACAGTTCCACACCGAATGTGCTTATAAAATTCCATTTAACCATTGCAGAGCTATTTTACTGTTCTCGAAGGAGTATTATCACACTTTTTTTTCTAATTTACAGCACCATGAAAGCTGAAGCTCTACACTGCCAGGATCCTCAAATCCTCACAGTAGTAAGGTTTTATGAACCATAAACAATATCTACTTGACTGAATCCTAAACAGGAAGTCTGAAATGGCAATTATGTTTCTTTGATAGTGCAAGTCTATTTGTTTCTTCTGCTATTCTGAAGACGGCACACATGCATACAAAAAAATTCTGAAGCAACTTTTGACAACTACGTTCTTTGTCTCGGGAGGACGACTAGGAAATACGCTGCAGTTTCGGATATTAAAGAGAGAAAAGCAAAAAGCACGTAACCAAGATCTGCCTGGGTCACGAAGACAGAAGCAGGCCCATTGTTTATTAAAACTGTCTTTAAAACAGCCTTCCTGTGTGATCTAATTTATCTCTGGCTCTGAAAAAACGTACTCATGACGCCTGTGCACGTTAACACAAAAAATAACACATAAAAACTTGTTCGAGGTTCTTCTACCCCTATGCCTCCTGCAACAACGGGACTTTTGACTCAGCGCAAGAAGTGGAGGTGGTAAAGCAGTTAGGATCTGTTTTTCAAATTAAAAAGTTAAA